ATAAAGCTCCAATCATTTAAAATTGGTTTATTGAACATGACTGTGAGTTCAGTGTACTACAATGGCCCCCACAGTCACCAGATCTCAACCCAATAGAGCATCTTTGGGATGTGGTGCAAAGAGAGCTTCGTGCCCTGGACGTGCATCCCACAGATCTCCATCAACTGCAAGATGTTATCCAGTCACTATGGGCCAACATTTCTAAAGAATGCTTTCAGCACCTTGTTGAATCAATGCCCCACAGAATTAAGGCAGTTATGAAGGTGAAAGAAACACCGTATTAGTATGGTGTTCTTAATAATAATTTAGGTGAGTGTAGTTTTAATTGTTATCTGTCATGTGCCATCTACAAATTATGAGAAGATGAAAGTTTATCAACAGATTACTATACATTAAAAGTACTTGCCGAGGTGTGTACGTTGTTGCCTTGGCAACAAACTCGTCCTGTAATGTAACGGTATACAATAAATCATTACGTGTGCTAAAGGTAATGAAGTTGCCATCACTACTGTTGTTTCTACATCTACAAATGACTGCCTGTTGATGTTACTGCCTGTTGATGTTAGCAGCTAACAAGAGGAGCTTACAGAGGCCACAGTCCCTCTTTCTCCACCATGATGTATTTCTTTGTAATGTATTCATGCACCACCATTGTGCTCTTGTGAAAGGAGAGTTCTTTGTCTTTTATTTTTGTGAAATGCTCACAAACTTCCTATGTCTTGTTTTTTCAGGTGACACAATGGCTCACCCGGACGGCCACTACTGCGCATGTGCCTCAAGCAGAAAGGCAGGAAGCAGCAGTGGTGCTGCAGCAGGCCAGATAAAATTAAACATAAAATAAATGTGTCACGCTACAAGCAGGAGGGTTGGACCCAGGATGCAGAAAACTCAGAACGACCAGAGGTAGGAGTGGTTAAGAAAATAAATTCCTTTATTTAAAGGAGGATGCTTCGAAATCCAAAGGCACGGAAACCAAGCCTAACAGATTGAACCACAAAAAACAGAACAGAACAGAACAGAACAGAACAGAACAGAACAGAACAGAAGCTCTCTCATGAGCACGAACCTGGAGAAAACATGTAAGGGACAAAATAACGCTGACACGTACAATGGACCGACAAACACTGAGAGAATAGACAGGGTTTTATACACAGAGGGAAGCAATTAGGGAAACAGGCAGCAGGTGTGTGGGGAGTGTAAGCTGAAGGGATCAGGAGAGACTAATTAACTAAATGGGGAAGGAACACATTGTATAAAAGGAAGAAACTGACGGGATAATATAACTATACAGAGAACTAAAGATAAGAGAACTAATAAACCTGAAACTATACACCAGAACAAACACTAAATCTATGGGGATACTAAACTAAATGGGATTGGATAACAAAGTATAAAGTGACTAGGGGGAAACATGAGGGAAACGTGGAGGGAGCTGGGCACTACAAGGACACAGAATAAGACAAAATGTTGATTTATTACATTTATCAGTCAAATCTAAATCAATCAAAAATGTATTTATATAGCACTTTTCATACAAATGAAGCAACTCAAAGTGCTTTACAGATAAAAATAACCCCATAAAACCTACATTCCATCCCTTTCCCACCCATATAAAAGCGATTAAAAAGGCAGCCCATTTCCCAGTTACACACACACACACACACACACACACGTACACACATACACACAGACAAACACACACTCATACACATAGCACATAAATCAACAAGAGTAAACACTTGGCCAAGTTCAGATGGATCAGGTAATGTACGACTCGCCAACAGGAGCTGTCTGCCTCTACAGCAGCAGTTCCACAGCAGCAGCTGAAGCACTGACCCCGGGCGACCAGTGATCGAGGGCAGAAACCCCCACCATCCCCAAGCACTTGCGAGGAGTGCCTAGGCAGCTGCCACTGACCACCGGCCCCTGGAACAAATAAAATAAGTAATATGTTAAATAACAAGAGCTAATATAGATAGTAAAAGAACTAATACAAGTTGATTATGGAGATAATAAAACATAATGTAGTGATAAATGTAGCTTTATATCTATATTTATCTAACGTGGTGTAGATTTAGCTTGTTTAGTCGTTTATAATCTTATATTAATTAATCGGGGCACCACCAAGTCTTTGTTAGTTGTAAACTTGGAACACTTGAATTGATATTCAGATTTGTTCAATGTAATCAGTCAAATTTAACACCACAAATTAACCTAAAGGAAAAACTCTTGCCAGCATCGCAGACTATTCTCGAGATCGCTAGAAATGATCAGGCATTATTTACGTTTTGTGAGTTTATTACAAGCATCAGTTTCATGCATGGAATTAAGAAAATGGTTAAACCCAAAGCTTTATGGCAGTGATATGAAATAACTGATCAGTAATAAAAGTCGACATTTGGTGACACACAAGATTATAGTAGAATCGGGAATAATTTCTAATGTGAGTATATGTGAAGAGTGTGTGTGTGTGTGTGTGTGTGTGTGTGTGTGTGTGTGTGTGTGTGTGTGTGTGTGTGTGTGTGTGTGTGTGTGTGTGTGTGTGTGTGTGTGCAAATTATATTTAGTGACAGCAGAAAAAGGAGGCTGAATCTTGAGAGCTGACGTGAATTTGGATTGAAATAAAACACACCATAAAAGTTTAAGTCTGAATTTACTAACTGAGCTTAGCATAAAAGTCAGCCAAATGAAATGATGCACAGACCTGTTGTCCTCGTCGCCAGAGGGTAGTCAAAGGGCTGAGGCAGCCTTGGGGTTGACTGATTATGGCTCCCGGGTTGGTCAATGGCATCTTTGGAGTGGAGGATGATGTGTTCCTCTACCGTGGCTTGACTTTAGGTTCCTTCAGCTGCACCGAAATGTAAAATTCAAAGCGCGGGTCCAGATTCAAAAACGATGTTGGATCAAAAACTGCTCCAAATTAGTTTTAACTCTTAATGTGAAAACTCAACCGGACCAAGCCGACCGGTTTTACGTAGAAGGTCAAAACAAAACAAACGGAGTTGCCGCTGAGTTCTACTGTACTTTTTGGGAGCACTAATGACTTGGGAACTTTGAGAGCGGCGTTGTTGCTAGGCGAGATGGAAAAGCCATAGCAGGGATTTGCTTTAGGCATCTTTGTTCTTTGCTATGCCATCACGCGGTTTGAACTCTGGCCTTTATACCCTTTCTTGGTCACTCCCACATGCATTTAACTCATTAACCACTGGATGGCACTATGGCTCTTTCAAATAACAATCTTTCCCACAGTGAAAGGTTCATATCACAATTTACCAAACTTATCCAGATGAGGCATCAAAAGTATTACTTTAAACAGGCAAGAACTAAATGCATGTCTTAAAACTGGACAGTTTTACCATTAGCATGAACTTTAACTGGAGAAACAAAAATGGCAGATGTTTAACATGAAAGAGGAACACAAACAAGCATTTAGGTTTGTAACTTATAAGAGCTCAAGCATTTACTTTGAACACCTCAATTTTATTATGGTAAATAACCTAAAACACCTTCTTTGACTGTAGATAAATAGAAATACAACATTTTATAAAGACTCAAGTCTAAAGCTTCCAGAAGGACCTCAGAAGTTTTACGACTACCCCCATCTTGAGTAAGGGTCAGTCTTGACGAGTTCATGTAACAAAGACCAGTTTCTAATATCGTCCTGCTTCTCCGATTGGTACAGAAGGTAACCCCAGTCAAATTTGTGCAATTTACGACCCTGGGAGAGAATCGTAGGAGTCAACCAGAATGCTGAAAAGCTGCAGGCCAGTTTCAAGTTTCCCCTTTTTGCTGCTAAGTGTGAGAGAAAGAAAAGCTTTGTGTGAAAATGGTTATGTTCTTCTTCGTGTGAATCCAACGAAAGTTAATCTGAGAATATGAAATGTGGATTTCCGCTACAATAACATAGAAATGTGTAATAAAACTGAACTGTAAAAAATAAACCGATAAATAAAAACAAGCTATGCAGTTAAACAGACTAAATAAATAGTGATCAGTTAAAAGCTAAACTAAAAAGGTGGGTCTTGAGCCTGTTCTTATAAATGTGAACATTCTTTACAGCCCTGAGGTCCCCCGGCAGCTCGTTCCATAGGCGAGGGCCATGATAGTTAAAAGACGCCTGGCCGTGAGTGTGTGTCCTGACTTTGAAATCACGAGGAGACAGCTGCCGGAGGAGCGCAGATACTGCGAGGGTTCGTATGGTAAAAGCAATTCTGAAAGATAAGAAGGCCCAAGACCATTAAGACACTTAAAAACCATTAAGAGAACCTTAAAATTGATCCTGTAATATGCAGGGAGCCAATGCAGCGATTCTAAACCTGGAGTGATGTGCTCCTGCTTCCTGGTCCTTATCAGTACACGTGCTGCAGAATTTTGTAGAAGTTGTAAACCAGAAATACTCTTTTTAGGAAGACCAGAAAGCAGGGCATTACAGTAGTCAAATCAATTAGTGATAAAAGCATGTATTAGCATCTCTGTATTGGCTTGAGAGAGAAAGGGGCAGACTCTGGTGATGTTCTTTAGACAATAAAAGCCTATTTTGGTTATGTTTTTAATATGAAGGATAAAAGTTAGCTCAGAGTCAAAAATCACACCCAGGTTCTTTACTTGTGAAGAAGGATTAAAAGACATTGATTTTAGTTTCGGTAAAAATTTCTCTCTCTGAGCCCCAGGACCGATGACTAAAACTTCTGTTTTGTCCTGGTTGAGCTGGAGAAAGTTTCCTGCCATCTAGGATTCAATGTCTAAAATACAGTTAAAAAGTGCATCCAGTGGCTGTGTGTCACCAGGAGACACGGAGATGTACAACTGCGTGTCGTCAGCATAACTGTGAAAGTCAACCCCTTGTCTCCTATTGACGCTGCCAAGAGGAAGCATATAGGGGTTAAAAAGCACTGGGCCTAAGATTGAACACTGGGGCACACCACATGTGATACTTTGGACCCCAGAAGAACAGGCATCCAAACTTACTTTATAAGTCCTGTCTGTGAGGTAAGAAGTGAACCATCTATGAGGAAAGCCACAGAGGTCGATCCGTTTTAGACAGGTTAAAAGAATGGTGTGGTCTACTGTATCGAAGGCAGCGCTTAAATCCAGTAGAACCAACACTGTCCCCTTCCAGGCATCATAGTTTGCTCTAAAATCATTTAAGATCTTCAGAAGGGCTATCTCAGTGCCGTGGTTTGGATATTGTCCAATACGTTATTTGTCAATGTTATCGTGACAAATTGACCAATCGTGGCAGCACTACAATTGTTCTAGCAGTCTGAGTCAATGCTTAGCTGCAGACAAAAATCAGGTAGTGTGATGTTTTTTATGATCCACTTGCAACATCAGTTTGGTTTGCAAAGTTTCTGACTTTAATCAGCATGTCACCTTTTTTTGCTTTTCCCATTGACGAAGTAAGAGATTGGTCATGATTTACAATGTTTTTGATAAAATTTCACAAAAGGTACTTTTAACCTCCAAAACCAATTAAACCTGCATTTCCTGTTCCTCCCACACCACTGACTAAAGCCCAGTTTGTGCTTCAGCGTCAGCTCCACGAGGGACAGGATGTTTAGAAAAGTGGGCTCGACTCTGTGTGTCCTTGTGAGCCCTTGCAACTGCGGATAATGGTGTTGTGTGTCTTCGTACTTATGCAGATGTGGAAGCATCAACTAGGCTTAACAAATACTCAAACTGTGCAACATGACAGGAATAACTTTTCTTGCCCTTGGCAAAATTAAATTAAATTAAATTAAAATTTTTATGATTTTTTTTCATTGTTATTGATTTTTTAAATTGTTTTTATTTAATTGCAAAGCACTTTTGGCTTATGTTATCTGTGAATGTTGCCAATCTTATTTTCTTGACCAGAAATTGTGTTTTATTTTATCTACACGTTTTTGACATATGTCTCTTGAAAAATAATGTCACGGTCTGGGGTTTTCCTCCTACGACTTTCTATTTGGTTTTGAGTCTCCTGCTGCAGGTGGGCGTGTCTGGACTGGAGGTGGCCAAGCTGCTGATCATCAGCTCATCAGTCGGCCAGGGAGTACTTAAGCAGCTGAGAGACATCTTCACTTCGCTGGATTATTACTCTACCTGGGTACCTTGCTACAGCCACCTAGAGATTATATTTGAGCTCTTAACCGTTTGAGTATTTGTTGTATTTTGGATTTTTGCATTTTACGTCCTGCTTGTTTCCAGACAAGACCTCCACCTCATCTCTGACTTGCAGAACTCTAGAACCTCTGCACCCGCTTGTCTCTCAGTCCTTCCCTGGCCAAAGTCGCCTCCAGCAGCCCACCTATTCTCTCCTGGATCTGCACATCACCACGCTCAGCTCCCTCCACCTCCATCTCTGGACCTCGGCTCCTAGGAACTCCCATCTACCCAGACCGGACCACTCCCCCCTCAAGCTATTCCCTCTTCAAACTGTAAGTCCTCAAGGATAACTCAAATCCCCTGTTGCCCTCTTTGAGCTGGACCTAACCTCCCTCTGTCGGGAGATTCCCGCACCTGACTCCTGTTGGAAGATCTCAGCCACATTAAGGCTGCTCCCTTGGTTCCTCTTAATAAATTATTTTTTAAAAACTCTTACCGAAGCCCGTGAACTGATTCTGTATGTCGTGGGTTAGACTCTTCCCTCACATCATGAAATCTTTCCACAAATTTAGAGAATATAGGTCAGTTTATTTGCATTAGGAGTTGATGTAAAAATTGTGTGAAAGAAATGTAAAGGTTTGTTGAATACCAGCAGCATCTTTTCACATTCTATGACATCACCCAGCATTAAAAATGACAGACTGCCCTTTATGAGAAAAAAAAAGGAAACTTCTGATCTTTTCCAAAAGCCAAGAATAGCAAATATTTGTGGTTTATGATAAAAATACTGCTTTTTTTATTCTGGCTGCTGCTTTGGAGACGTTTCAGAGCCCGATCTCACAGAAGTCACATGGTGAAACATTTTGTCACTAATTAAAATACGGTGAAGTCTGAGACACTGACAACATTTGGAGGAACTGTTTGTTGCATTCCTCTTCCCCTTCAGCAAATACTAAAACTTTTCCTAGTTTAGTAATGTCAAAGCAAAGAAAATACTTAAAGACTATCAAACAGAAAAAGCTACAGTCCTAAAAACAAGGTTTGGATTTTCTTAGTAAAATGCTGATCCATGCATCCTCCTCCCGTTTCTTCAAAACATGTATAGAAATAATACATTTCTTACATTCTCCTGCAATGCCCTGGTCTTGTAGAATGAGCCCTGGCATTTTTACTGTGATTGCCTGTTCTGTAAAATCACAAAAAGAGAGCTGCTCGGGTCTAGCAGGCTGCTTTATGCGCGTTCACGCTCAGGCATAGCCCGTAGCATTTGCTATCAGTAGCTTTAGCAGCAGAGAGTGAGGTAGTGCCAACTCAGCGACTTTGCCGCTGTTCCTAACGTCTAGTGATGAACCTAGCTACATTTCTGAGGACCCTTAGCTATTTTTTCTAGATATTTCCTGCAAAGTAGCAACAAAATAGCCATTTTCGCTCCAAACCGTTCTTTGAACGTTGTTTCAGCTGTCATCAAGGATATAAATGTTACAGATGCAAGAGACGCCACTGGTGCTTTAGTTCACCTAGTAAGACGTCGGACTCTCGTGCAGAAGACCTGGGTTCGTTTTTGGATGTGACTATAGTTTATTTAGAGTTTCTTTTTTACATTAATGTTATATTTTTTTAAAGTAAGATGCCCAAATTTTTATTTGAGACTCGCCGAACGGCATTGAATTCACAGATAAAAAAGATGTGGGTTCAACTTTCATTTTGGAACCATTTTTCAAGCAAGGGAAGGGAATGACTTGAGCATGCAGGAAGACTGACCCATCATAAACCTTTGTCGGCTGTGCTGAAGAGAAAGGTACAGAACCAAATTATTTAATTAATTAGCTGCGTGTTCTCCTGTACTCTGTCCTCCGGGCCACACACACGGGACTGTCTCAGCTGTTATTTTCGTTAAGGAGTGTGCACGTACAGCATGCGCGCCTCGTGCACAAGCCTACTATTGAAGCTGCAGTTACTCTTTTGGCCTGAGGGGGCAATCGCGAGCATAAAAATTCAAAACTCCGTAAAGTCCCTTTAAAGAGCAAGTAACGCCTAAAGTAACTTTTTTTTTTTTTTTTTTTTTTGCTAATAACGTGTATAGATGAGTGTCTGATAGTGCTGTTCACATGTGTAATCATTAGTATGGCAGTTTAGTGCAACTTACTTTAAGTTTAATATTTCAGCCCAAAACCATAATTCTATTTCCATCTTCAGGTTAAAAATTCTGCTCATGTAGAACCAGCTGTGGCTGATGGCTAAACTGAAAAATGTGGCAACGTCAGCAAATGACTGCGTGGCTGCACTGCACTGCACTGGTCTCCAGGTGAGGCAGCAGCACCTCCACCTGGCTCAGCCACTCACCTGCTGATTTGACACATTAGCGCTCTGAGCCGCTGGCCTCCTTGAAAAAAATGTCCTCCTCCCCTTTTCATCTAATGATCGCGTTTAACAGGAAATCCTCCAGAATGCTGCAGAATCTGTATCTACTCTTCTCCTGAGCGGTAAGTCTTGTGCGAGTGCGTGCATGCTCGAGTGCACACACGCTCGTTAACAACTCATTTTTAGATTGAGAAACTCTGACAGCACAGGGGGTTAAGGGGGTCTATCACTGCCTCAGTGCCGCTCTCTCGATCCGCCAGATGACACCTCTTTCAGAAGCATTTTCCTAACAGGAAGTGTGGATGAAATACGTCTCCACCCAGGCCTTGACCCTCACTTTAACCATCGTGTCAAATCTGATGAAAAACCTTCATGTCTGGATGTTTACTATAAATCAGTTTGCTAACACTTTACAATAAGCTTTTCATTTCAAAGTTTATAAATGTAAAAGTAAATGTTAGTTTACTTTTCTGATTAATTTAAAAAGTACCCTAAACATTGAACATTTTGTTAGTTATTGATTTGAGCCAGGTAACACTGTAACCTGCAGGATTTTGGTCACCCATCTCTGGAATATTACCACACACAAGATGAAAGAAAACGATGTGTGAATAACGTCAACGTATTTATGGTAAATGGCCATGTAACAACATATAAGTAATGGTTAACTATTGAGTAAGTACAGATTAGTTCCTGAGTAGGTACTTGGAAGGAGGCTCCACTTTCCATCATCTCGAGATGGACGGATGCTGACGATGGACGACGAAGTGACAGACGAGTGAAATTAGGTTTGAACCAGTGATGTTAAATCACTGTGACGTTGCAAATTATCTGCATTCTTCATGAAGTTTACAAAAGATGGTCGACAGGCATTACATTCATTTGGGATTTGTTCCTTATTACGTTCATAGATCACTACCTATTAGTCCCTGTATAAGACTGCTGGGTGTTTACCAGTAAGTATTGATTAACTACCTATTAGACCCTGAAAAAAGACTGATGAGCATTTTCACCAGTAACTACTGGTTAACTACCTATTCTTCACTGCATCATTACTCATTAATCCCTAAGTTGTTCATCACTAACAAAGCACAATTTTGCTTGGGCTACCTTTTTGTAAAGTGTTACCCACAGTTTCTATATAATTCTTCGTCACCACCCTCTCCTTCTGTTCTTATTCCACCTTTCCTTCTGTTCTTATTCCACCTTTCCTCTGTCCTATTCATTTTCTCTCTCCCTTTCCTTACATTTTTTTCTTTTCTCCTTCAAAACATATTTTTAATAATTTTTTAAAATCTTTTTGTACTTTAATGTTCTTCATTTTTGTGAAGCGACTTGTAATTTTCATCTTGAGAGGCGCTATATTAAAGTTTGTTTTCTTCTTCTGCTTCTATTTGTGGAGATAAAACATCAACCTTGAAAATCGAACATGTCAGTGGTAGACTCGTGTTGCTGTTAGCCAATCAGAGACAAGATGTTCAAATATCAGTGAGACTCCAAATCCAGCTGACTTCTCCATCCACCAAAAGGTGCGCTGGAGCTTTTTTTTCTCCAGAGAACGACTTACAAGACATTCATTTCTCTTAGAGACTGCTGAAAATGTTTTTAAAAGTTGACCTTTAACTATAACAATGAATTGCTTCAGTGTATGAAAAGTGCTGTATAAATAACGCTGCCTTGCTTATATTAAAACAAAACCTCCCTAGAACTGCAGTGCAGTCCAGTTTAAACTGGTTTGGTAAAGCAGTGTAAGTGAACACACAGTTGGTATAAAAGCTTTAGTGGGAGCAGCTGGTCAGCAGCATGTCGAGGTTTTACAACTGGGCGACCAACTGAACTAGTTTCTGTTCTCCTGAGATCATGCCATTTCTGCACCCCTGTTGCCCGCTGTCAGCAGGAGAACATGACCATCGACTCAAATATTACCACCTAAATGATTTACCATTAAGCCTAACTTTCATTTAAGTTTCAGTCTTTCTCACTTTTACTCTCCATAGTTTGCTCCTGGCTGTCGGTCTGAAGCTGCGTTAAATATTCATAACCAGGGAGAGGAGGAATCTGATGAGGAGAGCAAAGAATCACACACTGCAAGGCCAGAGAGCTTATTTATACCCAATGTTTACCACAAGAGTTGCAGGTGTATTCTAGCAATATAAACCATCCCTTCCTCCAGCTTCTTTTTACACATTTAAAAAACTGTGTGTCCAGGACATTGTACAGTTTCTATTTACAACAAATAAAATGTTTCCACATCATATCATAATAAAGCTTCCTTAACTTGGAAAGCCATCATATATATGTGAATATATGCTGTCGTCTAGCCACGACCTATAGATGGATCTCAATCATGGGGCGGGATCTACGGTTGTCTTTCAAACGGTCTCTGAATATTATTGGATAAAAAGCATGACATACTCACCACTTCAAATGTCAGTCAACGGGGCAGCCTGCCATACACTGTCGAAGAAGACACATTTACATCCTTTTCCTAATTAAAGGACTTAAGCACCTCTGAGCCTACCTGCTTTTGACTAAAGCATTCTAACATGTAATCTTACCAGGTGTTTATAAAAGAATCAGTTTGGTACAAGTGGGATCTCCTGATACTTTGTTTTTGAAAGAAAAATTATGAGCTGAAGCATTTGAGAGTTTTTCTAGGTTTTAACCCCTTTTGTTAGAAAGAAGAGGTGAGGGTTGTTGCTGATGTTGAGTCTCCAGCTGTGAGCTTAGCAGGGACAGCACACATGCAGGTGAGATCGATGAAGGTCAAGGAAGCAACATTCTTTCAGAAAACTTGAATTAAATCATTGTCTCATATTCATTAATAAGACTAATGTAATGGCAAAAGAGAAACTGCAAACATTACTGAGGAAGTTTAGACTTTTCAGGAAGTCGGAAGGTCACCGTGAAAGTTTTCTACTAAAGAATCCTTATCTTATCCAGAGACCAGGACTGAGCTGTTTATTTATTTGCATTGTATCTTAGATATTTCATCTTAAAGAAAGATGAAAATATAGAAATGTGCACAGTTGTATCTTTTGAGATTATATCAGTAAAAATAATACACTCCAACTGGATATAGCAGCTAATGACTAAATATTTTAACCTGCAGATATCTGAAGTTTAAGGATTTG